GGCGACGAATCAGTGGGGCGACAAACACAGACGCTGCAGCCTCGCGCACCAGCAGCAACAATTGCGACACCATGGCAACGAGGGCAACCATGGCAAAAGAAAAAATAAGGTAGAAGAACGGACCTGCTCTAATACCATAACAAAATAGTAGCTAGAAAAGCTTAGGAGCCAAGGTAGGAACTATGGCTTAGAGTAACGTGAGTAGCGTGAATAGCATGAGAGATAGTTTAGAGAGAAGAGGTTTGCATTAGAAATCAAGATACAAGATATAGGTGGGTACACCACCTACAGAAAACCTAAATGATACTACACTAATTGTCTAGCATGAAGTTGTTTGTGAATAATTTCAACACTCCTAGGCTACTCTCGTAACGTAAGCCTACTCTAGAAATGCAGTTAAGCAATTGCTTAGCGATTCCTTTGCTCGTGCTTAGGCATTTTATAAATGTGTGCTTTTATTTAATTGTAATAGATTCTCTTGTGTAAAGAGCTTCCTAGATCCCTATAGAAGTCGACAGAAAGATCATCTGAAGTATTACATGTTTGTTTGAAATTTCAGATGAACAAAAACACCATTTCTGAATATCCATATGAACGAAAACGGCGTGTCTTTTTTAACATGAGCAACAAAAAGCACGTGTGATTAAAAAAGAAAGCAAAACATTTTTGTCTGATGTTAGGGACCCTGGTTCTGTAATGCTTCTATCGAATTTGTTGTCACCTGGGCCTTATATAAATTGTACCATGATTACGTCCATTGTAACCACTTTAGGAAAAATCTTTAGTGTTTACTGGTTCTTATCAGGAGGGTACAGTAAACAGCAGGACGTTAATCCAGAGGATGATGGAATCAAGTACGGCCCCATTCTTTCACGCCAGACTGTAGAAAAAGGAGGTCCAGCTCCTCATCAAGATTCCCTAATGGTGCAGCAGCAGCATCGCCCCTACTCATCCCGTCCATCTGTGCATCCTCTTTTCTCGCTGTGCTTGACAACTCTCCCGCCACCTCGCCTCTGATTGCCTGCAGCTCGTGGATGATGTCTGCCATGTTTGGCCGGCTTGCAGTGCACCCTACAGTGCATTGGACTGCAAGCTTTGCAAGGCGCAATATGAGATCACCATGATCAACGTTGCCATTGCCAGCATCGCCAATGCATCCCATGCTGGGATCTCTGAGGGAGGCAATGTCACCGACTTCCAACTGATGCGCAACCTGAGAGACACGTGGAAAACAAGGACCAGCACATGTTCTTGTACGGCGGTGAAACATTCAAGATTCTGAAAATGGCAAGAATGTGTTTCTATAGAATTATATGTGCCCTTGATTACAAGAGCCCAAAAGATGTGACAGCAAGGCTGCAATGTCCATGTCTTGACAGGCCACTGAACAGTGCATTATGTCCTGACAGGCCTCTGAACAATGCATCACCTTACTCACTGTACAGGGGTGGATTCTTTTAGTTGAAACTCACCATCTGCGGAGCGATGGGGTTTATCCTGGAAACTCAAAACAAGACACCACACTTGTACCTTCACCATCATAGCGTGATGGTATTTTGTGGGAATCCATCTTGTGAGATTGAAACGAGACACCAACTTACCCATTGCACGGCATGCACAATCTTGTCGTCCACTGTCCAGTAAGCGCTGCGCCCTGTAGTCAGCACCAGCAACAGAACTCCAAAGCTGCACCCCAGTGCGCAAAGCCAGGTATTGCAAACGGAACATAATTATTTAGACATGGGGGTAAATGCCCACTAGATGCTAGAGCATTGTGACACTGGTCCCGCGACGCCGTCTCCTTCACACCATTTCCTAGACCAAGCTCGAGCTTGACAAAGAATCAGACAAATATTGCCAAAAAATGCAAGCTGATGACACACCTGTACACATCCGTCACTGTGGTTGCTTCGCGCGACATAGTGTACGCAGGATCGACATAGCCCGGGGTTCCCATGACATGAGTGGTGCCAGTTGAGTCGACAAGCCTTATTAGCCCAAAGTCGGCAATCTTTGCCTGCCATGGGGATGGGAAGGACAACGAATGTGGTGAGGTTCTTAACTGGGATTGATGTGAAGGGAAAAGAAAAAAACAAGGCAAAATTACGTGTTTCCTGCAGCAGGCATTTGCTTAGCTTGTTACACAAGCCATGTGATGAGCCAACATAACAGATGGCTTGCTCGCTCAAGAAAATTACCGCGTTAGCAGATTTGGTGAAGGCTGGAATGTTGTATAAGACCTATTTCAAGAAATTAATCCATTAAACTAGGATATAAAACGAGTGTAACCTATAAAATGACACCTTCATTGAACTCTGATATAAAGCACAAGTACAAAAGTAGGTTAACCTCCCTCTCCTTGTTCACGTGTACTAACCTCCATGTGTTTCTGTTTTGCAAGACGCCTCACGAAGGACGGACGACTTATACAATAAGTGTAGCCACACTGGGTCTTGATAGCCTTGGTGCACCTCTGGCTATTGACGTCACAATGTGTTGTGGGTCATGTGTTGGTGCTGATGAAGACCTCCCGGCCAAAATGCATTCAGAGTGTTTGTCTCGCTACTGGCCATTACATGTTTAGAGCGAGTTGCACTTTAGGGTACAGTTTATGTTCATTTTGTAGTTCTTAGCTTAAACTGAACACACAGTTTAATTAGGGTTTTCCAATTTCCTCCTTCAAATGTATCTCGACACCCTTTCTAGTACAACTTCTTCTGTAAACCATGGCTTCCAAGCATCCTTTCTTAACATCTGTACCCGCTTTCGCCCGCGCTCTGCGCAGATCGTCGATTTTGACAGTGAATCTGATTTCGCCGGTCAATCTGATTACGCCATTGAGTGAGAAAACCTAGGCAACCCCTCCTCCCTATCAAATTCGCTGCCACTTACCACTTGTCACCACCCTGAATCTACAAGGCCCAACCTCCCCTACACTTTTACAGATCCCGACATTGAGCTCAACCCAACACAACACCATCCGTCAGCCAATAGCTATTACCCTCCACCCAAATGTCGAGTTTTGCGGCTAGTTCAGCTCATAACAGTACTAAACAGTCCCGACCGGCATGTACCTGACTCGATTGCTACACAACGACCCAACTCCAGGCTGGGCACTTTGCTCGTGCCTACTCTATTCACGGAAGAAGGTCGTTGCCTGCGTTTATATGTGTGTGTATGTATGTGTGCATGTAGTCAGCTAATCAAAGAGTGTGTATTTATGTGTGGATGTATTATGTGTGCGTGCGTTTACATGTGTGTGTATATATGTGTGGATGCATTATGAAATCACTCTATCCAAGAAGAAAGGGTGGCTTGCAGCAAGCCTTAGCAAAAGGCGAACACGAACATTTTCGTGTTGGGCTGAACACCTCCAATGAAAATGGGTGTTCAGCGTTTGCGTGTAAAGGCGAACACCAAGGTGTTCGCACCGAGCACGAACATGTTTGTGTTCGCCTTTTGGCAGCCTTCGTTGAAGTCACATGATGTGCGATGGTGGATTAGGGCGTTCAGGGAGGTGTGGCTAAACGTGGTGGACACGTGGGAGTGAAGGGAACGTGCTAAAAAGCCTTAATCACCAATAGGCGTCAGCCCTAAAGTTGACTAAAAGAATATAGTATGGTTTCGCCAAACTATTTCATTGGAGTCTAGGAATGCTAGCTTGTGGAGCTTGTAATCTAGGCCGTGGGAGAAGAGTTTAGCAAAAGTGAAGCTCAAAGATGAGCAACTAGTGTTTCCCATTGACCTCAAAAGAGGGGGCTCTCGGACTGTTCTGGCGAACACATTTGTGTTCGCAGTGGATCGGCTAGCCGCACCAAACCGAACACGAACATGTACGGCCTTGTGCTCATGCAAGCCACTTGCCTGCATGTCGGTGGTGACGAGGATGTTGGCGGGTTTGATGTCGCGATGCACGATGCCAAAGCTGTGGAGATACTCCAAGCCCCGGGCAACACCAATCAGGATGTCCAGCCGTTGCTGCAAACTCAAACGGTAGGGTGCCTCTGCAAGCCAACGGAAGGGCGGAAGATAAAAAAGGTATGTGCTTGCTGAATTTACAAAGATAGCTTAACTGTCTTGGCGTAGTGAGTGGCTTGGATTTCTGTGAAGACACGCCTTGGAAGCTGCAAGAGAAATGCGTGCAAACAGAAAGTCTAGAAGAATAGTAGACACAAACGAGGCCCATGGAAACATGCGAAACCTCCAAACTGAATGGTGACAAACAAACAGATGAGGAACGAGCATGACGGGTATCACTCACCACAACTTAAAATAATACATACAGCAGGCAAGAAGCCAGCAGTGGTTATGTCTGCCTTTCAGGCTCACCTGCCCCCATCCATTTGTCGAGGTCACCGTTGGGCACGAACTCATGGATCAAGAGTTGCTCAGGCCGCGTGCGCATGTCGCCCCCCACACAATACCCGAGCAAGCGCACGATGTTGGGATGATTCTTGTCCGCCATTTGCTGCACCTGAAAGCCACAGATGATGCAGGACGGAATCGGTGTGCCATTTTGAAGCCCGAGAGATGGTATTAGGCCTGGCTGGATTGGTGATACAATCGTGGCCCAGTGATACAACCTGCCTGAGCAGCCGGATTTCAAGAATTTGTAAAATCAACCCACAATCAATGTGATTAGCTAGCTTCGGTAAGGATACTAGATGGAATTTGTCTTAGAGGGGCTTGCTGTGACTGAACTGTTCCACTCCAGCAAATGCATTACCTCTCTCTTAAAGTTCATGGTGAAGAGTGTGGCTCGTTTCACGGCCCATAGAGTGGTGCCATCTCGAGGGCACACCCCCTTGTACACTTCCCCAAAGCTGCCCGCACCAATCTTGTTCTCGTCTGCCCAGTTCTGGGTCGCACTCTCTGCTTCCTCCAGTGAGTACTTACGGCACTGCGTGAAGCCTCCGTCTGATATCCGGCCAAGTGAATCTCCTGTGGGGGATACGAGACGGAAATGGTACAGGATGCGTGCCGCGTGACATGCAACAGTTTTAGAGGCGCTGCAAAGGCTCATGGTGGTATCTGAGCTGAGCAGATGAACGCCTTGCATGGGATACAAGGCTGGCAGAAGAGACGAGAAGAGAAGAGAGGAGACGCGAAGAGAAGAGAGGAGAAGAGAAGAGAAGAGAAGAGAAGAGAAGAGAAGAGAAGAGAAGAGAGGAGAAGAGAAGAGAAGAGCAGAGAAGAGAAGAGACGGGAACAAGGCAGTGCAGCCGAGAGGAATTGAGGTAGCCTCCATTGTAATGGATGAAGTTACATACCCAGGCGTACATGACACATACATACATACCCATACTCATGCCAACTCACGTTCCCACAACCAATGTTGTCGATTTGGAATATTCATTCCCAAGTCTCTCACCTCTCAAACCACCCTCCTGCTTTTTGCCCTTCCCTCGTCACAGCAGCAACCCGCCACCGACAACCAGCAGAAGCAGAAGCAATGCAGCAGCAAGAGCGATGCCGATAGTGGCCCCTATTGGCAGGCCACCTCCAGAGGCGTTCAAGGACTGCTCGGCTGGTAGGCTAACGCTGGGGCTGGAAGGGCTTGTGCTGGTAGAAGCGGGCGTTGTGGTGGTGGGGGAACGGGCAGGGCTGGCTGCAGGAGAGTCGTTTGAAGGCGTGATTGCATTGCATGCACCACCACGGGCCGGCCAACATGGGCAACACCGGAAAATGTGAGTACGCCGTGTGCCGCACGAGCATGCGCAGATACAGATGTAGAAGCAGAAGAAGATTCACAGTAGTGGATTGAATGGTCACTGGTCCTTGACCCCGGGGAGTGTTTCTTAGAGTTCTTTTCTTAACCAAACCATCCAGATCCAGTTGCTAGAAGAAAATATTTGGTGTGCTAAAGCAATGATGACAGCTGTCAGGCAGCTGCTGCTAGTTGTTTGTTGGGTTCATATTCAGCCAAACCTTGCAATGAGAACAATGCTGTTATACATCTATCCTATTGCAGCAGGACATCATGTTGCGCTTTGGAGAAACAGGGAAGATTTGGCACTCCCTGTTTCTCCAACGTCTGTAGGCCGTGTGGCGTGCATACCTCTACCAACGAACCTGTACGCTTCCGCATGTCATCAGAATATCACCTGGCTGGTCCGTGCAGGTTTGGCAAAACGATGTGCACGCATAGCAAAGCACAGAGCCAGGTGGCACCACCACGCAGCTGCTGTTGTCAGGCGGACACAAGCCGCTGTTGCCTGTCAGATTCCTGGTTTTCAAGAAACAGTTCAGAGCGTGCAAGATGCAGTTGGCAACAGTTAGATATTGAGGCACCTCGAAACTCGGACGCAATCTGCTGTTGCATCATCTGCTGTTGCATCATCTGCTCTTGCATCATCTGCTCTTGCATCATCTGCTCTTGCATCATATGCTCTTGCATCATCTGCTGTTGCATCATCTGCTCTTGCATCATCTGCTCTTGCATCATCTGCTCTTGCATCATCTGCTCTTGCATCATCTGCTCTTGCATCATCTGCTCTTGCATCATCTGCTCTTGCATCATCTGCTGTTGCATCATCTGCTGTTGCATCATCTGCTGTTGCATCATCTGCTGTTGCATCATCTGCTCTTGCATCATCTGCTCTTGCATCATCTGCTCTTGCATCATCTGCTGTTGCATCATCTGCTCTTGCATCATCTGCTCTTGCATCATCTGCTCTTGCATCATCTGCTCTTGCATCATCTGCTCTTGCATCATCTGCTCTTGCATCATCTGCTCTTGCATCATCTGCTCTTGCATCATCTGCTCTTGCATCATCTGCTGTTGCATCATCTGCTCTTGCATCATCTGCTGTTGCATCATCTGCTGTTGCATCATCTGCTCTTGCATCATCTGCTCTTGCATCATCTGCTCTTGCATCATCTGCTCTTGCATCATCTGCTCTTGCATCATCTGCTCTTGCATCATCTGCTCTTGCATCATCTGCTCTTGCATCATCTGCTCTTGCATCATCTGCTGTTGCATCATCTGCTGTTGCATCATCTGCTCTTGCATCATCTGCTGTTGCATCATCTGCTGTTGCATCATCTGCTCTTGCATCATCTGCTCTTGCATCATCTGCTCTTGCATCATCTGCTCTTGCATCATCTGCTCTTGCATCATCTGCTGTTGCATCATCTGCTGTTGCATCATCTGCTCTTGCATCATCTGCTGTTGCATCATCTGCTGTTGCATCATCTGCTCTTGCATCATCTGCTCTTGCATCATCTGCTCTTGCATCATCTGCTCTTGCATCATCTGCTCTTGCATCATCTGCTCTTGCATCATCTGCTCTTGCATCATCTGCTCTTGCATCATCTGCTGTTGCATCATCTGCTGTTGCATCATCTGCTGTTGCATCATCTGCTCTTGCATCATCTGCTCTTGCATCATCTGCTGTTGCATCATCTGCTGTTGCATCATCTGCTCTTGCATCATCTGCTCTTGCATCATCTGCTCTTGCATCATCTGCTCTTGCATCATCTGCTCTTGCATCATCTGGTCTTGCATCATCTGCTGTTGCATCATCTACTGTTGCATCATCTGCTCTTGCATCATCTACTCTTGCATCATCTGCTCTTGCATCATCTGCTCTTGCATCATCTGCTGTTGCATCATCTGCTGTTGCATCATCTGCTGTTGCATCATCTGCTCTTGCATCATCTGCTCTTGCATCATCTGCTCTTGCATCATCTGCTCTTGCATCATCTGCTCTTGCATCATCTGCTCTTGCATCATCTGCTCTTGCATCATCTGCTCTTGCATCATCTAATCTTGCATCATCTGCTGTTGCTTCATCTGCTCTTGCATCATCTGCTCTTGCATCATCTGCTGTTGCATCATCTGCTGTTGCATCATCTGCTCTTGCATCATCTGCTCTTGCATCATCTGCTGTTGCATCATCTGCTGTTGCAACATCTGCTCTTGCATCATCTGCTCTTGCATCATCTGCTCTTGCATCATCTGCTCTTGCATCATCTGCTCTTGCATCATCATCTCTTGCATCATCTGCTGTTGCATCATCTGCTGTTGCATCATCTGCTCTTGCATCATCTGCTCTTGCATCATCTGCTGTTGCATCATCTGCTCTTGCATCATCTGCTCTTGCATCATCTGCTCTTGCATCATCTGCTCTTGCATCATCTGCTCTTGCATCATCTGCTCTTGCATCATCTGCTCTTGCATCATCTGCTGTTGCATCATCTGCTGTTGCATCATCTGCTCTTGCATCATCTGCTGTTGCATCATCTGCTGTTGCATCATCTGCTCTTGCATCATCTGCTGTTGCATCATCTGCTGTTGCATCATCTGCTCTTGCATCATCTGCTCTTGCATCATCTGCTCTTGCATCATCTGCTCTTGCATCATCTGCTCTTGCATCATCTGCTCTTGCATCATCTGCTCTTGCATCATCTGCTCTTGCATCATCTGCTCTTGCATCATCTGCTGTTGCATCATCTGCTCTTGCATCATCTGCTGTTGCATCATCTGCTGTTGCATCATCTGCTCTTGCATCATCTGCTCTTGCATCATCTGCTCTTGCATCATCTGCTCTTGCATCATCTGCTCTTGCATCATCTGCTCTTGCATCATCTGCTCTTGCATCATCTGCTGTTGCATCATCTGCTCTTGCATCATCTGCTTTTGCATCATCTGCTGTTGCATCATCTGCTCTTGCATCATCTGCTCTTGCATCATCTGCTCTTGCATCATCTGCTCTTGCATCATCTGCTCTTGCATCATCTGCTCTTGCATCATCTGCTCTTGCATCATCTGCTCTTGCATCATCTGCTCTTGCATCATCTGCTCTTGCATCATCTGCTGTTGCATCATCTGCTCTTGCATCATCTGCTGTTGCATCATCTGCTGTTGCATCATCTGCTCTTGCATCATCTGCTGTTGCATCATCTGCTGTTGCATCATCTGCTCTTGCATCATCTGCTCTTGCATCATCTGCTCTTGCATCATCTGCTCTTGCATCATCTGCTGTTGCATCATCTGGTCTTGCATCATCTGCTGTTGCATCATCTGCTGTTGCATCATCTGCTCTTGCATCATCTGCTCTTGCATCATCTGCTCTTGCATCATCTGCTCTTGCATCATCTGCTCTTGCATCATCTGCTCTTGCATCATCTGCTCTTGCATCATCTGCTCTTGCATCATCTGCTGTTGCATCATCTGCTGTTGCATCATCTGCTCTTGCATCATCTGCTCTTGCATCATCTGCTCTTGCATCATCTGCTCTTGCATCATCTGCTCTTGCATCATCTGCTCTTGCATCATCTGCTCTTGCATCATCTGCTCTTGCATCATCTGCTCTTGCATCATCTGCTCTTGCATCATCTGCTGTTGCATCATCTGCTCTTGCATCATCTGCTGTTGCATCATCTGCTGTTGCATCATCTGCTCTTGCATCATCTGCTCTTGCATCATCTGCTGTTGCATCATCTGCTGTTGCATCATCTTCTCTTGCATCATCTGCTCTTGCATCATCTGCTCTTGCATCATCTGCTCTTGCATCATCTGCTCTTGCATCATCTGCTCTTGCATCATCTGCTCTTGCATCATCTGCTCTTGCATCATCTGCTCTTGCATCATCTGCTCTTGCATCATCTGCTGTTGCATCATCTGCTCTTGCATCATCTGCTCTTGCATCATCTGCTCTTGCATCATCTGCTCTTGCATCATCTGCTCTTGCATCATCTGCTCTTGCATCATCTGCTCTTGCATCATCTGCTCTTGCATCATCTGCTCTTGCATCATCTGCTCTTGCATCATCTGCTCTTGCATCATCTGCTCTTGCATCATCTGCTGTTACACAATCTCCCATTGGAATTGTGTCTTGCCACAGCCAACACGTGGCCGAAGGCCGCCATCGAGAGCCGCCAAAAATGGAAACAAAACTGAAGAATGGAGAATAGAGAGCCCTTGACGCCCTTATGAAGAGGTGAATTTAAAAGGCAGGGGGCAGGGGGCAGTGTGCAAAAGTCAATTGGCTAATCCCCTCCCTCTCTCCCTCCCTCCCTCCCTCCAGCAAAAAAATACTTGAAAACCAGGATGAGAGCTGTGGGCGATATTGCTCCACAACGCGTGATCGAATTACGGTAAAACAATAGTTTTTTTCATGAAAAAACGGAAAAGGGAGTGCAAAACCCACAGCCACTGTATGCTGAGTTTGTCCAGGTTCAATGAAATTGCCCCACTTAGCTGGTTCTCCTGGAGTTCCCTGAAGCCATACAAATTGGGATAAAACAAACAACCAGACGCAATTGACAATTCTCATAAACATTTGAAGCATCCCAAAAGGGGACTCACGAACATGCTCTCAAGTCGGTAAAAAATAGTGCGACCACTCACGTGCCCTTTCTATTGAGGGATTCTAGCGTGCAGTAGTCTGTCTATGTATCCACACCTTCCAAACGGAGCAGCAATCCAGCCAGCCAGCCGTCCAGCCAGCCAGCACAGTTCAAGCAAGTCCATTAGCAAGAAGTTTGGTTTTCAGGAGGCACACCAAGGACATGTTGTGTGCCTATGGCACTGGCCTAATCATGCCTACCTGCTGAACCTCACTGCTTTTAGCTCAGTAATTAGCGGCTAACTTTTTCCCGCATCATTGACAGCATTCGCCCACGCCTAGCACTGCGGGAAGCATATTGTTGCACTAGTGTTGGACTGTATGCGCGCATGTGATTCTGTACCGCAGTAATTCTGCAATGCACGTGATTCTGTAATACACGTAATTCTGTAACGCACACAACCTCTGCGACTCGCAGCATAAATGGTGCGGTATTCTGCTCTATGAGACTTAATGACAAACTTTGGGGCGCCTGAATGAAACGTCTTGATCGTTTAGGGCCTGTAGGCATGCTTGAGGATTTACGTTCATGACCCATCATGCAATGGCACGCCCCCCCCCCCCCCCCCCCCCCCCCCCCCCTCCTTCTCCCCCATACATGACCCATGGCTTCATCTATAACTCATGCCCCCATCCATGACCCATGCTCTCATACCTGTTTCAATGCACCGTGCTTACAGATGCCATAGTGATGTGAATGTGCCAAAGCTGGCTGGAATGGACCCACTTAGTTGGTTGTGAGACAAAGATCTGTGCACCCGGGCCCGGGGTGACCTTTGATTTGAGTTGACTTGAAAACCCAGCAGTTGACTACAGAATGACAATGAGCATGAAACAAGAGCCGTAAACTCTCTTAGCAAGGCATGGGCTTGGGAACGACAAGATTTAGTCCTGGTGCCAGGTGGCTGTCATTGTGTTAGGCACGGATAGTGCCCAGCCAGGTCGGGTCGTGTCGACCCTTTTCAAACGACGACCCGACAGGGTCGGCTTGGGAATACCCGGCCGGGTTAGGTCCACCCGTAACCCGATTCTTGCATTTCCAGCCAGGTTGGGTCGATCCGCGTACCTCGAACGACCCGATCTGAGATGGGTTGGGAACATCAAAGTAGACATGAGGAACGGTCGAACTCGAATATGTTTGAGTCGAACTAAGTGGAACATCCGTCACTGTCGAACCGAGCTCGAACTGTCGGACTCGAACATTTTTTTTCGAAAGGGCACACTCGACGCGAAATGAGCAACCGACCCGACCCGCCTCGACCCGACACAATCTGGCCGGGCCAGGCGGGTTTCCGGGTCAGGTCGGGTCGGGTCTTACCGAGCCGAGGTTTCGAAAACCCTGACCGGACCCGGCCTTGAAGGATCGGGTCAGGTCTGACCCGCCCCTGGGTCGGTCGGGTACAAAAATATCAGTTATCATCCGCGCTCTGCGCAGATTGACATTTTTTCCCGTCCACCTGCGCACATTGGCGATTTTGCCAGTCGATCTGCACAAATCAGCAATTTCGCACGCCGATCTGCACAGATTGGCGACTGCGCAACCCTAATGTGATCGCCGCTAACTGAGTGAGGAAAGCCTGGCACTCTCTCCTCCCCGTCAAACCTGTTGGAATACAAAATCTCAACCAATTCGCCATCATTTACCACTCGTCACAGCACTGGATCTACAAAACCCAACCCCCCATACAATTTCACAGATTTTGACATTGCGATACGCCTAACCCTACCAACACCTTCCAGCCATAGCTGACACCCTCCAGCCGATAGCTGTTTGACGGCTAGTTTAGCTCCCAACCCAACAGGCGGGACTGATCCGATGTTTAGAAAATTACCCGATTTCGATCCGGGTCAATATAGGATCATGACCCGACCCGTCCCGGCCCGATTTCAAGAATCGGGTCTCGGGTCAACCTGACCCGGCCGTGTAGGGATGAGCAAGGGGCGAACACGAACATGTTCGTGTTCGCCCCTACACGAACACATCCCTTTGCCGAACCGAACACTGTTCGGTTCGGCGAACTCTGTTCGGTTCGGCGAACTCTGTTCGGTTCGGCGAACACTTTAAGCAAAAACAGGTGTTCGCCGTTCGCCTGTGAAGGCGTGTCCGGGCGAACCTCGAACACGTTCGTGTTTGTCGCGGGGAAAATTGTAGCAGCGGCCCGAACACGAACGTGTTCGGGCGAACCTCGAACACTGTTTGGCGAACAATTTAAGTTCGAGGCGAACCGAATAGGTGTTCGCCTTTGTGCCCATGTCTACGGCCGTGTATACCCGATCCGACTCGGCTGGGTCAGCGTTTCAGAAAGGTCGGCCCGACCCGACCCAACCGGGCCAAATTTTGAGTGTGTGATTGAATAGTATGTTGGAAAATACGTGTTTTGCGTATCGTACGTGCATGTACTCTACGCACCTGTACATATGTGATATGCCTCACTTCGGAAGCTTCAATACGCTTTAAATACGGAGTGTCGGTCAGGGTAAAAAAAAATGGGCAGGGGGAAAAAAGCCTCAGGGTGACGGTGCAGATGATTTGTGTAAAACCGACACTGGTTTCGAATGAATCTGGCGGCGGAATACCAGATCTGCAACCCTGTTGCTAATAGCAGTCAGCTGCTTGTGAGGTTGTGTGTTACTGGCTAAGGAAAAAACGGTTGCATCGACATTTGAGTCCAGACTGGTTGTTCTGGACAAACATGGAAAAAAAAAAGGGTTTTTGGGGACGGCTACTAGAGCGTATCACGTTTTGCCATATATACGTGCACGTACAAACGTGATCCCCTTCTTGACCCCGAGCGTTTTTTCGAACATAGGTCGAATAGTGGTGGGTTTATTCAAACACTAAGGTGTTCGACTCGAACTCAAACAGGTTCGTTTTTGGACCCCATTTATCATAGTCAGATTCATAGTTTTGTACAATCGTAAAGGAATGCCGTCATTAAGAGCGCAATGTCCTAGGCAAAGTAGGTGGTTCATCTAGAGTAGCGTAACCATGAAATAAAGATTCTGAACTTCGAACCTCGAACACCCGAATATGTTCAGGTCGAACTGTTGCTGAGTACCTATTGTTCTTGAACTTTGTTGGAGGTTTAGTCCGCTAGTGTATCCGTGCACATTATAGTTGTGTACGAATTAGGGGTTGAGTTACATTAGTTATAGGTTGTTGCTCCCCGAATGGTTTCATCACGTGCTAGGCAGCCCAAGTTCGGCTTTGGGGAACCTCAGCACGTTACCCAACTTTGGGGCGGCTCTAGCTCGGAATTCGCGTTTCCAATCCATGGAGTTGCGGATCTACTTGAGGAAGCGCTTCCATACCCACTTTGAAGGTCCTGTTGGAACTTGAGCTTAGAATCCATACATTAGTAATGAGCTCACGGACGAGGTGAAGGCCATGATGAAGACCTGCTTTGTGTTTCGCGCGAAGCGCCGCTCTTAAGTCACCGATAGGAACTTGAGGTTTCGGGTTTCCGAAGGAGAATTTGAAGAGCTTAAGGTTAAGAATTTACGAAAGAGAATATTGAGGTTTAGGGTTTTCGAAGGAGAATTTGAAGGAAACGCCGATTTCAGAACTATCGATTAACTGCTAACCCAGATCCCCCCCGGCCCTGTCCCTCAGCTTCGCGGCTTCGCTGCTACACGGCTGCTCAGCTGCGTGGCTGCACCTGTTCAGCTGCGGGACGATGGGAGTGCCGATGCGGGGCGACGGGCGGCAGCCCGAAGGTGACGCTGCGGGGCGACGGGCGACAGCCCGACGAGAAGCTGCAGGGCGACGGGCGGCGGCCCGACGAGAACCTGCAGGGCGACGGGCGGCGGCCCGATGAGAAGCTGCAGGGCGACGGTCGACGGCCCGACGAGAAGCTGCAGGGCGACGGGCGACGGGCGACGGCCCGACGAGAAGAATTGGCGGGAACGATTTTTAGGGTTAAAACGCGATTAGTGAAAGTAGGCTTGAGCAAAATCTCGAACACCTGTTCGGTTCGCCTCGAACATGTTGAGGCGAACCGAACTTTTTTTTTTTTGCCTAATTCGTTCGGGGCGAATGTGTTCGGTGTTCGCCCGAACATGTTCGGTGTTCGCCCCGCTACTTCTGCCGAGCCGCGTCGAACACGAACGCGTTCGTGCTCGTTTCGGGGCAAAAACGAACACGAATGTGTTCGACGCGACTGTCCCGCGATCTACAATTTACGTTGCGGGACATTCTGTTTGAGCTCAAATCTGAGCTCAAACTTAGTCGCACTATTCAGCAGCAGCCATTACTACCACGCCCCCCACACATCACGCCGTTATCACCTCATTAGGACTTAGCGTAATTAAGTAGTTACCGTAGGTTAGTCTGTCTAGACATGGGTATGCGAGATTTAGGATTTCGGGAAAAGATTAGACAGGGATACCGCAGAATCTCGTAAGTTGAGGGTTGACGGTAAGCATTCGCAAATTTCGTATGCATGGGATTGAGAGGAATAGCGTTCACATATTTT